CAACAGAAAAAAATATCCTTGGGTGAGCATTAAAAAAAAAAAAGATAAAAATCTTAAGCCTTTTTTTAATGTAAATTGAAAAATTTTAAATATATTGTTATGGCTAAAAACAAATCTAAGTTCACCCACCCCCATTATCATCTGAAATCACTGCTTTAATCTGATCACCTACTGAATCACTGTGATGACAACTCTAAGTCCTTGTGGTAGATCTTGTTGGCCCAATCTTCCTTCCTTTGAAGAAAATAAAGAGTTGGAAATACACAATTCAATCAAAGGCAGAGTCCTCCTACAACAAAATAAGCAACTTTGCTTAAGCAAAAAATTACTTATTCACAGAATAAACCAAAAGGTTCCACTCCGACTACCTTAAGCAGCTACAGAAAAATACAAATTAGAAGACCCAAGCTCTTAATCCTATTCTCTTGCAAGACAATACTGGCTAAGACGTACAATAGCCCCTTATCTTTAAAATAAGGATGTCCTCCTTGGTAAATTACTTTAAGATTGTAAGTATAGGAAGAAGTCCAATAGACCTAGAAACAAACTCCCAGTCTTGCAGAAGAATGAAGGTTTCTCAAAAAAGCATGTCATAAATGATGGCTGGCACTGCCTGTGTGATTATTTTAATACCTTCTTTTAGGGCTAATCTTCTCTATCATTTCTTACACCAATGCCACTATCTTAAATTTAAATAGTTCTGATTGCTAAGGAATTCCAACTCATTTCATTCACACATTCCATGCACACAAACCCTGAATGTGAACTTATTCTCTAGCACTCACTACTTGAGAACTTTGGCAAGACACCTAGTATTTCTGAGTCTTGGTTTCTGCTTTTATAAAATGGAGAGAGCCTGACTTCATGACTTCACAGGGATACTAGAGACAAATTAAACAATGTGAAAATATGTTTGGGAAGAGTACTGACACATATAAATGCTTGATATGATTATAAGATCTCCAATTCCTACACTTGACTGAAAAAAGAATTTTGCTCCAAATGTTCAAATGTAGAATCTGAGGCTTATGGTTGTTTTATTGGCACTATATACTTTAAAACAAGCAAGTCTCCAGGAAATTTTCTATCTAAAGTTCCTTGTAAGAAAGCAGAGTAAGATGTTAAAACTTAGGCATACATTTTAATATTTTCAGAAGTGGAGCACACATTTTCACTACATCCCTCTTGAGGGCAGGAATAGTATCTTAGTCATCATTTTAGCTAACTAACTGGCACAGAGACTAGCTCTGTGATAAAAAAAAAGAATACACTTTTGTGGAATAAAAGTAAATGTTCATATGTCTGAGATGGAAAGATATCTGGTCTTGGAGTACAGACACCTGCTCTCATACCACATACAGCCTTGCGCAAGTCCCTCAAGCATCCAAAACCTTCATTTCCCTTGAAAAGTCTACACTGTAACGCCCCTTTTATCTGATATCAGACATCCACCTAGAATAGTGTAAATAAGGTCTTTGAGTGACAAAATGAAAAAAAAGTTTCTCACAAATTCCATATATGCACTTTATCCATAGTAGAGGGCTATGGATTTTTATTCAAGTATATTTATACCAAACTTGCTGAAATATGTCCTATTGTTGGTTAAAAGCAGTAAAATAGGTCAGATGTCAAAGGAAAGAGAAACCCAAGAAACCCTAAACGTTCCTCTTTCTGATGTATGGAATGAAACCAAACTGTCCCAAAAAGGTAGATCAGATTCAATCCAAAAATCATACTATGGCCTAATATCACTGAACACTTGACAAGTCATTCATTACCATAGTCTCCATCTCTTATGCCAAAATTAGACTTACCTTATGATTACTCTAATTCAATCTTTAATTATGGTAAAACAGAATAAATGCTCACAAATCCTGCATTCTAGTGCTATCCACTATTAGCTTCCTCATGAACCTGGGAAGGAATGATGAAGCCCTCTTTTACAGTTCACTTTTCCTTACTCAAGTCATCACTAACTGCCCTTGTTTTTCACTATGTACCATTAATGGAATCACAAACAAAACGTCATGTAATCTTAACCAACAAAAGCTGGTTTTTGAGTTATCAAAGAAGCATTATTTTACATAATCAATTTCCCCCCAATGATGCCATTATACTTTAAAGTATAGTGATACTATTTACCAACTACAGGTATCAGCTCCTTCAAGGAAGTAACCATGTCTCCTCCCAATTCTGATCCTTAAAGCCCATGATAGAGTACTGCAGCCATCAGAATACTTAACAAATATTTCTGAGATTGGTTTTAAAAGACTTTTATATGTTAGTAATGGAAATCCAAATGCCTATACAGTTGACCCTTGAACAATGCAGGGAGGGTTAGGGACACCAACCCCCACCTACCACACCAACAAAAATACACATACAACTTTTGACTCCCCCCAAATTTAACTACTAATAGTCTACTGTTGACCAGAAGCCTTACCAATAAGTCAATTAACACATATTTTGCATGTTATATGTATTATATACTGTATTACAATAAAGAAAATGTTATTTAAAAAAACCATAAGGAAAATGCATTTAGAGTATTTATTGAAAAAAATCCACATATAAGTGGATGCACAAAGTTCAAACCCATGTTGTTCAAGGGTCAACTGTAATTCTTTTGCAAAGTTAAATACACCAAGAATCTTAAGCAAATTTTTATATGTTCACTAGATGTAATATATGATGAAAACTAATTTATGATATAATGTTAAATTTAAAATGATTGGAATAAGAATTATATATAAAGTGTTGTACATCAAACATACAAAATATATTTTATACAAATATATATTATGTAAATCATATATATCAAATATACATTATAATCCATTACTATATATATTTATACAAATGTATTTTATATAAATATATAAAATATTTAAAATTTTTATATATCATATAAAAATATAATGATAATGTAGTTATTATTTATGATCACTTAAAAAATTCTTGAGAAGGTAAAAGTTTAATTATAGTATTTACTAAATAACTAACTGCTCTAATTACTCCATTTTCTTACCTCTAAGCAGTGCTACTTCCCACTTATTTCCTTTCTTTTTAAAAAATAATGTCACAGAAGTACTCCTATGTACCTATGTATTCCATATGCATGCTCCTTACGTAAGATTTAGCATATGGAGAAAAACATCATCCATGGTCTCATCACCCAAACACAAATACTGTTAATATGTTTGTGCATTTCCTTCCAGATTTTCGCCAAATGCATAGATTTTTTTATTGTAATTAAATTTCATATACAATTTTCTATATAATTTCAAAATATATTATATAGAATTTTAAAATATTTTATATATGTTTAAGTATATAAAGTACATTTGTATAAATATATAGTTATGGATTATAATATATTTGATATATATGATTTATGTAATAAACATTTGTATAAAATATATTTTGTATGTTTTATGTACACTTTATATAGAATTCTTATTCTGATAATTTTAACATTAGATCATAAATTAGTTTTAAAAGAAAGGAAATAAATGTGAAGGAGCACTGCTTGGAGGTAAGAAAGGAGAATAATTAGAGCAGTTAGCATTTAGTAAGTGCTATAACTAAACTTTTACCTTCTCAAGGAAGTTTTTAAGTGATCGTAAATGATAACTAAGATACAGAATATTTGTGCCTACCTTTATGATTTGACAGGTTTTTAAAAAAAGTTTTAGTTGTATGATGCTTTACAATTTACAAAGCTCTCAAAATGTGCCATCACCTGTCCCTCAAACAATCCTGTGAGCTAGGTTCAGAAGATGCCCGGTTTTAAGGATGAGGAAACTGAGGGTTGGAGAGAGAACCTGCTTTGATAACATCTGTCATTTATATCAATGATTACTATGTGCCAGCCTCTGGGTTAAGCACAACAATCTTGAGAAAATTATCACCATTTTATATAGATAAGAAACTGACGGGCAGAGGTTAATTGTGCTCACTATCTTACAGCTGAGAACACTGCTCTAACTCGAGGCCACTCATTGAAAACAGGAGTCTTGAGTTACAATCAACCTCCCAGAGTCCTTTAGGGGAAGAGTTGAGCCTGTGGCCCAGCCCAGCGCCCCCTCTACTACACTGGTCTCGCCCACGGTTCCTTTGAAGTTCCTCAGTTTGCCAGCCACTACGAAGGTCTAGAGGCAAATGCATAACGCCCAGCGCTACCTCAAAACGACCGTCGGCGGTCAGCCCGTGCCTCAGGAGGACGGCAAGGCAGTGAGCAAACACAGAACGGTGGGGACAAGGCCAACAGGTCTCACAAACATTAAGGGGTGGCCAAGGGGAAACAAACTCTCCGCCGCAAGAGCAGGGATAGCAACAAGCGTCACAATTCCTGCCTTTACACTCGTGTAACTCGGTACAGTTTCCACAATGCCTGTGGGTCCACCTCAAAGGAGCCCACCACCACCCGTGGGCTGGGCGGGGTGGGGATTTGTCCCACTTCGCCGGAAAAGCTGCGAGAAACGCAATAGTGGGCCGGGTAGGCAAAAGAGCAACGCGTCGGGGGGACTGGACACGTCGATGGAGTCTGGGGGCCTCGGCCAGCGCAGAGTGTTGGGAGAGCCCCAGACCGCGGCGGGGACAAAGGCCCAGAGGCAGGCCGCGGTGCTGAGGCGTCGCCCGCCGGGGCCTAGAGAGCTGCCAGGTCGGCCCAGGAGCCTCGCTACTCACGTTGGACCAGCCGGTCTCCAGTGAAGGTGGAGGAGCAGCTGGTGACAAGCGCACAGGGGACACCCGCAGCCATAGCTGCACTAGGGAGCCGGGTCTGTGTGGGAGCCGCTTCCGCCTTGGGCTGCACCACGGCCGCCGGCGCGCGGGGGGGGGACGGGACTGGGAGGGCGCGTGCTCGGAATGGCCCGGCTGCCCCGGCTCCTCCCTCACCCCCTCTTCCGCTCCCGGCGTGGGACAGGCCGGGCCGAGCGTGGTGTTGCCAAGGGAACGAGCTACTTCCACCGAGGTTTCCGCCGATGGAGACCAGGCCTCCCGGGGAGAGGCAGCCCTCCCTGGCCCTAGCCACGGCGGAGGAGGCTGAAACCCACGACCCCATCGGAACCATCTTAGTCCAGGTGGGAACTGGGCCCCTCCCGGCCCGGCCCGGCCAAGACACTGCCGAGCGAGCCCAGCGCCGTCGATCCACTCCCCCCCACCCACTTGGAATGCTGACCCCAGGTTGCCTCCGGAGAGCTCCCAAATTTCCCAGCCCAGACGCCGCTCTGGAGCCTACTCACCCCTGGGTGCCGTCCCCTGGAGGCTGCGCTCCAGAAGCACTGCTGCTCTGCCTCTGGTAAAACTCCAAGACCACGCAACTCACCCGCAACCCTTACTTCGGAAAAATCCACCTCACACTGAGGCACCATTTTAAAATGTATTGTTCTGAGAAATTTGAGTCCATGATGTAGGGTGTTGGGTAAGATGCAAATCAAACACATTTAGTGATGAGAAATTTGGGGAGAAATTGAAATATGTGAACTGCTTTTATTAAGCACCCCAGTTTTTTGGATCTAAAAGTCACTTGCAAACAAGTCCTGGGGATGTAAAGCATAGCATGGTAACGAGTCAATAATACTGTGTTGTGTATTTGAAAGTTGCTAAGAGAGTAAATCTTAAAAGTTCTCAGCACAAGAAAAGAAATTATAACTGTGTGCTGAGGGATGTTCACTAGACCTATTGTGGTGATCATTTTACAATATATACAATCAAATCATTATGTTGTACACCTGAAACTAATATAATGTTATCTGTCAATTATATCTTAATAAAATAAAAGGCCCTTGCTTGGGAACAAACACATAGAAAAATATATTTAAAATAAGGGATTACAAATCAAATTAAAGTTTTGAATATAAAATGTGACAAATTAAAAAACTCAGCAATAATTTTTTCTGATGGGGTAAATATTAGGAAAGTCTTAACTTCTCCAGAAGAACTCACTTTGTGACAGTTATCCTCAGATTTTTCTGAACTGGTAAAAAAAATTTTACATATAGCTTTAAAATGTTTCCACATATTTCATCACTTTTAACTCTTATCTTTAGTTCCATTTGACGAAGGCTTGAAATAATTTTCCTAAGGTCACTCTACTAGGACTCTGACTCAGATCTGCAATGGGTCTAATTTTTCTTCCTGCCAGGATTTTTATCTCTTACCTCCTATCTAGGAAAGACTTCTGTAAATTCACCTTTTCCAAAATACAAACCCTTAAACTTACCAATTTCATAGACTTCACCATTATGAATCATACCCATATCTTCTTTCCTTGTCTTTTCCTTTTTTTCACCATCACCCTAGAATTGAGTTTAGCCAAACTGCAAAGCCTGAAGGAACACAGTCTTCCCAAGACTTCCCTCATTTCTACATTAGCATCAAGTTCAGGAGTCCCCAGAACCACCCTCACTTCAGACCAGCTATCTATAATTTGAGAGGCCTGACTACCTTCACATTGGCTAATTTCCTGGAATAACTCACAGGAGCTATGTTTACAATTATAGTGTTGTTGCAGTGTAAACTTACAAATAAAAATCAGCCAAGGGAAGAGATGTGTAGGGCAGAGTCCAAGAGGGGTCCCAAGAGAGTTTCCAGTGATCCTCCCCCTATGGAATCATGGACAGCATTACCTCTTCCCAGCCACTGTGTGTGACAGTGTGCACAGAGTATTGTAAGTAGGGAAGCTTCCCTGAGACTTTGGTGTCCAGGGTTTTTATTGGGGTTCAATCTCACACTACCCTACATGGCTCACCTTTCACCTCTAGCCCTTCCCAGAGGTCAGACTAATGCTTTTAGCGTTCAGTTCCTCTAAAGGTTGGAACTCATACAGTGTGTCTCAAAGCCCCATCATAAATCACATTGTTAGACTGTCTGGTGGCCAAAGCCTCCAAGCAAGACACTCTTATCAAGCAGGATACTTTAGGGGCCTACAGGTCACCTCCCAGTATCTAAGGGCAAAGGTCAGGCCTCTCTTTAGGTAAGGATACCTATTCACTACACATACCCCTTTCCAAACCTAGGGCCCATTTTTACAGACTCCAAACAATTAGAGCACTAATGGAGACTCCCACCTAGAAAAAGCCAGTTCTTCCCAACAGTTACTTCATTTGACTACAGGAGCAATTAAGTTTTTCTATAGTTTCCTCTATTTCTCCAGGCCTGAGACATCTCTAAAAAAGAGACCAGAATCCAGGGAGAATTCTCATGCCTAATTTACCCTAAGAAAATTCTACTTCCCAGCGGCTGCTCCTCTTGTGGTTTGGAAGAGTGTAGAATAGTGTACCCACTGAAAAGCCAGAAATCTTGTCACCTCATTGTGGGATCCAGAGGTAGCTATTTGGGCAATCTAGAATACAGCATTACAGTATTAATGTCTATTGTCATCAAATTGTAAAATGGAACAGAAGAGTTAAGAACAGTCATACCCTTGCTGATGAGCACCTCCATTTGCTTAAAGGGGTTATTATGGACACACTAAGTAGAGGCTGTGTAGAGAAAGAGCCTGCACTTTAATATGATTGCTGAGGCTGATCTCTAGATACAATGTAAAATTCTCCCCAGTAATATATAGACTACGTATAATGGGGAAAAGTGGAAGACCTTTCTTTTCCACTGAGCCCTGAGTATTTGCGAGGGAGCATACAGCACCACTCCCAGACATGCAATATGGATTCCATTTCTGCCTGGGGCTGTGATTTCTTTCCTGCCAATAAACAGTACATCTACTGGAAAGAACACTTGGTTGGGAGTCAGAATACTGAGGTCTGATCTAGGCAATGACATTCTTCCAGATGGATAACTCTGGGCTAGTCACTGCACCTGTCTGGGCCTCAGTTTTCCCTTCTGTACAATACATAGCTTGGATTAAATATACCGCTAACTAAATTGACTCAATATCCCCAAAGCTATATAACTTCTCTTTATTATAAAGTGTACTTCCTTTACTATTAGCTTAGTCAATCAAATTATTTATTAAAGTAGGTTTACAGTTGTGAGTACACAAGAGTTTATTTTTGTATTATTTAATTATTGTATTATTTTTATTAACCTACTTTTGCCCATTCCTGTATATTGTGGATATAGATATAGATATAGATGATATAGATATAGCTATATGCCAGAAAAGCAGAGTTACTTCAAATCTCCACTTGCTTCACCCTATTGTGCTATATTTGGTCTATGCCTCAATCAGATACATTAAGCAACTCTTTGGACCAGTGGTTCTCAAAGTGTGGTCCGAGGACCAGCATCATCAACACCAGCTGGGAATTTGCGAGAAATGCAAATTTTCAGAACCCTCTCCAGACCTACTAAATCAGAAGCTCTGGGGATAGGGCCCAGTAAATCTGTTCTTTACAAGCCTTTCAGACAACTCTGATACATGCTCATGGTTGAGAGCTACTATTTAGATCATACTGTAAAACATAAACTGTGATACAATTTTAAAGAAAAATCACAATAATCAAAGCTAACATAGTATTTACCAAGTATCGTACAAGGTTCTAAGTGCTTTGTATATTTTAACTCATTTAACCCTTACAATAAGGCTATCAGATAAGTATTATGATTATTTCACATTATAGAAAGGAAACTGACCAAAGATGAGTATTGTGGGTTGACCCATATACATAGAAAATGCAATCTTCTCAAGCCTGTTCAATCCATCAGTCCTGGTACAAAAAGAGTTCCCTTGACTCTTTTTGCTCCTTTAGATATTTAAACCCTGCCCTTTTCAGTGAATTTTCACCAACCTCTAGCTTTATATATTTACAAACATACATTTGTATATTGGTAGATATTCTACAAGCATTGGCTACTGGTTAGGCATGAAGGCTCTGGATTCAGACTGCCTGGTTAACTGTCCCACCAGTTTACCAGCTGTGTTACCTTGCACAGGTTATTTAACCACTTAAAACTCACATTCCCTCAAGTATATAATGAAAATAATAATATTAACTCCCTCTTAGGAGTCTTGTAAGGATTAAAATATAGGAAAAAATAAAGTATAACACTCAGTAGATGCTAGTTATTATTTGATTTGGTCTCTTACCATTTAATATTAATTTTGTGTACATTTCTCTATCTTTTTAAGATTAGCCTGTTCTTTACTCTAAGTTGCTGGAAGAAAAAGAAAAATTAGTTTCAGCCTGTCCTTTTAACTAGGACTACTCCATTCTTAACTAGAGCTTTAAGGGTTTTGCAATTTGGCAAACTGTATGCCTTGTTACAAACTGATTTTTTTGGGATATCCCGTTTTACCTACTACAGGATTGGGCCCGTCAATCCTGGATAACTGGATAAAAATCTACTCGTTAATTCAGTCTCCAATAATTTATGTTCTGTTCAAAAGTGAATGGAGCTGGACTAAAACTAGCTATTATTTAGAAAACATAATAGTTGGTACAAATTAATAGTAAAAGTAATATTTTGATAAAATATCTAAACTACTTAAGAGATGATCTTTAAATACAAATAATCAGTGCTCTAATTATAAACTCTGTGTGAATTACTATGAAAGCATGTGCCTTAGGTGTTTAGATTTTCCAGCACAGTCCTGATTGTGAATATTCTGTCCCATTGTCAGATCATGTATTAAAGTCCATGTTTTCCTTTTTGGTTCAGAAAATATGATTACTATCTCCACATAGAGCTCTACTGGGAAGTATTTTGTTAACTAAACTTATTTCACTTTTAAGTCTAAATGCAGACTTTTTACAATTTTAGCTGGATCTTTCCTCAACTAATCAGAATAGTGAGGTTTTTACTATAGCAATAATTCTCATCATTACAATAAAATGGTATCCAACACTGAGAGCCAGACACTGTGCTGAGAGCTCTAGATTTTCTCAAGTCCTAACAACAACTCTGTTAGGCAGGTATTATTTTATCTCTAGTATACAGTAGAAGGAACTATAGTACAAAGAGATAAAATAACTTGCCCAAGGCGATAAATCTTAAACAGGTTATGACATGTTTATGAAACCATCTTGAAGAAGTATGGTGGTGACTCTGGGATGCTAGATGCTTTCTATTAGTAACTCTTAGAAGCTCTGTTTTTATACTTTAATAATAATGTGGTACCTTTTAAATATCTTTATAAATGTTTGCTTGACCCAAATATTAAACATGTCTGGCAACAGGGAGTACCTAGTCTTGTTATCAAAATTATCTTTTTAATTAGCTTTGAAATCATATTTCAAAAATCCAACAGTTGCATGTTAACACCAACCTTGGAAATATTGGAGCTAATTGACACCTTGATATTATCAGTGTTTCTTACCAGTCCTGCTGTCTGGTATGCCAGAATCATACAACACAAAAGTGATGAGAATGACTCAGCCAAACTCTGTGTTTAGCAGAGATGAATAAAATGGGAATTATGAGACTGCTTTTGACAGTGTGGAATCTGGTCGCACAGCTCTTTTAAATTCTAGAGCAAATCTTTACTGCATTGAATATTTCAAGGCCTTCTTATTAAAGCCGTCCTGTCCCCAAACTGTCAGAATAATAATTTCCTCCAAGTAGATTTCAAAATGTATGGACAGTAATGCATCTGATAATCTCAGAGATGATGGGTGACACACAAAATTTCAGTATGGTAGATTGGATCTATTTGAAGAAAGAACAGAGATTTAGAAGTTAATCTCTTTTCCTACCCTAGTGTGGTGAAAGATTTTCTACAGTACTCATCTAATGCAATTATACAAACAGCTGTGCGGGTATTAAGAGGGGAGAAGAAACTATCTGGCAAGAAAAGTAAAGCGAAAGCTCTTGAGAAATTCAAATCAGTGAACATTCACTAGGTGCCAGTTGTGTGCAAGGAGTTTCACTAGGTTTTACAGTGCAGGAGAGAATTAACATTTGCTCGGTGCCCTCCTATGTGGCTGGCCCGATACAAAGCACGTTACCTACTTTACTTCATTTTATTCTTGCCACTGTTCTGAGAGGCAGCTATTTGTCTCTGTTTTATAGATGAGAATGCTAAGGCTCTTAAAAGCTAGGTAAGTTTGCCAAGCTCAGTTTAGTAACGGAGGAAATAGGATTCTAGTTTATACCTGTCTGGTTCCAAAGCCTATTCATTCATTCATTGTCACACACATTGCCTCATTTTCATTCAACAGTTCGATGAAGTAGAATAATTCTCTTATTTTTTCTTGGTGAAGAAACTAGAGAAAATGTAGGTGATGTACATGGACATCGTGTGACTAGTGAGAGAACAATGAATTATGTTCATCTGCTTTTTGCTGATTCTTACTACATACCAGACCTATGCATATCTCACGACTCTATGAAGAAGTGTAATTGTCCACACGAGGCAGATAAAGAAGTCAGACCTTTGGTTTCCTGATAGTAAGTAATCCAGAGCAGGTTTCACTCTCTACAGCACTTGCCAGGCCTAATCACAGAATGACACACGAAGCTACACATACTAGAGCTACAAGAAGGAAATTCAGTGCATTCAAAGGGGTCTGGGCGTGGGCTTGCCCTGAGCTGCTGCTTTGTACTTTCAAAACCTCATTAGGCAATAGATGGCAAATCGGCTTGTAGCAGTAATTTGGACAAAACAAGTGAAAGAAGTGCATCTTCATCCTTAGTGCCTAAAATCAAGCAGTAGGTGTGTTCAAATTTCAATCTGTGAGCCCTGAAGGCTTTACATGCCAATTTGTGCAGAGTACAAATGACCAGATGTGTCTGCCAGACTGTGATGCCCATCAGTGAAAAGATGCAAATTCTCATCTTTTGAATACTTGGCTCAGTCGGAATATTCTAGAATAATCGATAACATAGACTAGATCAATGTGTGAGTCCAGTTAGACTAACAGAGAAAGGTAACTGTTTCAAAATGCCTTTAGCAACCCAGTCTGCAGACTGTTATTGGTGTGACTACTGGTGAAACAGGTGTTGGGTTCATAAATTTGCATAACGAAATGCTTTCCTTGTGGCAGCAGCCCATACAATAATTGGTGCCATCTGTATTTATCTGTTGAAGTTTGATTTCTAATATGAATTCAGAGAACCTTGTGCTGTCTAATTTTATAATGCCCGTTTTATTCTGAGGGTGCTTGGCATTGGAGAAATAGTCATCATTTCGAAGGAAAACGTAATAGTAATAGTATATATATAAACGTTAAAGTAATAGTATATATTGCCTTTTCCTCATGGATCATTTTCATTTTTGACTACATAAAGCAAAATCAAGGCCACATACCTGCCCTACAGAACTGCTTCTTCAGAGCAGTTAGTGGGAAGATCCAGCCAGAATGGAAAGCCAACAGGCCCTGTCAGCATATTTGCAATTCTCTGTGTAAAGGCACAGCTTTCACTAGAACCTCTCTTTGCTAAAAGTATCCTGTTTTCTTACCTTTTAACCAATGAGTAGAAACCAGAGTTTGGCACAGGCTTCTGATGGTCCTTGATTCAACTGCTTTACCATCTGAAAAAGCAGATGCCATTTGCATTGCAGTTTAGCTTGGATTTATTTCTAATGGGGAAAGAAAAAATAGAACATTGTATAAGAGCTTAGTTTTTCAAAATCTAAAAAACAACAGTGGAACATTCTAATAAAGACTACCTTAGAACCATAAAGACAGTCCTTTTCAATGAATACCATAAAATCAACCTTATTGTCTCTAGCAATTCAAGCAAATTGCTAACCTTTAAATAGCTTAGGTGGACTATGTATGTATTCTTTTACTATTTCATATTTTTTACACCTGCAGGTCCATGAAGACCTTTATCAATTAAAGGAGAAATTAGCAAACTTCCCACTTGAGGAAAGAGGAGCAACTCTAGACATTCAGAATCTTGAAACAGCAATCAAAAGGACTGAAATGGGGTTACGAGTAAGTAGCACTTTAGATATTAAATAAAATACCAGGAGACAAAGATTCCTCTAGAAGAAAAGAATTGTGGTTCTCACAGGACTCTGAGAGATCCTGTAACAGGTGGATTTAGGGTGACCATCAGCTCTTTCTGTTCCTTTTTTTAAATGATGACGATTAACTGGTTGATTGATTGATTCACATCCTGTCACATCTCACAAAGAATTTAAGATATTAATAATGTAAGATTATGTAGTGATAACTTCTAAAATGAGGTTTGATAAAAAGAATTTTAAAAATAATCACTATTATTTGTCCAACAATATGCCTGACCCAAAGGGATTCATGCCAATACATCATAGAGAGTTTCTATCAGATTCACTGGGATTGTAAAGAAATAAGCGTTGACTTTCCCCAAATAACCTACATGTTTTGAGAATAGTCATTTTTGTAATATAGTAACCTAATGGGTAAAACCAAAGAAATATACCAATTTTGGAACAGAGAAGTAAAGTAAATCAGACTTCATTATTGTAGACCAGTGATTTTCAACCTTTTTCATCTTATGACGCACAGAAAAAATTTTGTAACTAGGCTTATTGTGATTATTTCACAATATATACAAATAGCGAACCATTATTTTGTGCACCTGAAATTAATGTTATATTTCAATTTCTTTAAAACTAAATAGAGTAAGATGCAGCAAGGATGTATTAGCCCATGGTTCTCCTTGTTCTTGCCTCAGACTTTCACTCTACATGTTATGAGCTTCATCACTCAGCTCCTGCGGCTGTGAGAGATGTGATTGATTTTGCAGGCTCGTCAGACTAGCACGCCATTGTCCTATATTACCTGGTGGGGAGGGGGCTGGGTCCAGCTGGAGTCTTTGGGTTGGCCATTTTAAAGAATCTGTTACCTGAAGGACAAATTCTTTCCTCAGATGCTTGCTTGAAGTCCCTGTAAGAAAAAGACATTGCTCCATATCTGTATTGCCTAGTAAATTTACCTGGCTAAGCGATTTACTGGCTATTGTGCATAGTTTCATTTGTGAAGAGTGCTACAGGTCACTCAAGCTTTGAGTCTCAACTGTTTATTATGCTTTTTGGGATAAAGTAATTTGGCCTTGAGATGCCTAATTATACCTTAGGCATGTAATAAACACATAGCATGTTGTGTCTTTTGGCTTAATTACACGATTCAGAGTGTTAACCTAATGAAATGAAGTAAATTAGCTGAGTATCTTAAGTCCACTCTAATGACCTAAACTTTAACTTTCCTATAACAGATTCACATTGAGAAGTATTTAAATGTTGTAAACCATCACGTGTTAACGACTCCTATTAGTGGTGATAAGTTATATTCTTCCCACACTTCCGAATGGTGAGTAAAGTAGCCATTTATGGATGCAAAATAAGTACAGAAAAATAACTTTTCTCACTCAGGTGAGATGACTGTAAAGACAAAATTTTATTGGTTTTGTTTATATCCAATCTACTAATTTCAGTAGAAGTTTTGCATAAAAAGTTAATGGAAAAGATCATGTTTTTCAGGTATTTTATAAAGCATGTTTATTATGTGAAAAAAATAGTTAATGGCATAATTTAGACTTTAATAAAGTTTATTCTGGGTTACTTTTATTGACTTCTAATGTTTGACACCATAACAGTGATTTCAGGGTCATATTTTGGTGTAATTCTGCTTTGTTTTGTTTTTTAGTAAAACATGTCCAAAATTCTACTCCTAAAGGAACTGTTTTAATGCAAATCAGTGTTTACACTATTTGGACTGCATGGCTCTTTCCTTACAGTTTTTCAGGCTTAGTTTAGCTAAAATGAAATAATATAACCCCTGAACTCACTGCATGAGTGAACTGCAGTACATTCTAATGCTTTGAAAGCAGACTTACCAATCATGCTGTCCCCACAGTTCATGTGTTTGTGGTTGGGAGCTGCCACTCTCAGAATGCCTCCAGAACTGCAGGTGACAGGGCCAGTGGAAGGATCTGTGACAAGCTGAATATTAAATAGTAGAAAGTAATTTCTTATTTTTATTTCTTATTTTGTATATTTCTTATTTTATGTAAATGTAAGTTCTTATACTTTCATCACACAACCAATGGCAATGTCTCATGCATCTCCTGTTTTGTGGGCACCCTACTTGAGAGGCCACAGGTCAAGAGTGATGGTTCTTAAACTGTGGCTTGCAATCCTCTTTCACTGGCTCCGCATTTTAACAAACATGCTTGGCATTCCGAATGCAGACAATGTGTGCTTGGAATCCCTGGGCCAAGCATGACTCCCTAGAATGAGTCTTCTTTGGGCCACATGAACAGCCTGCTTCTGTGTGATTAAAGAGCCTGGTCCTGGAAATTCTGTTCCCCTGATGCTATGAAGAGTTGGGTAAGCCTCTTGCCCTGGGATTGCGCCAGGAGTGGGACTTGGCAGTCAGGCTGGTAGGACTGCCAATATCTGCTCAAACCGGGAGTCTGATGGATATCAGAGGCCAAAGGTCCAGGGCCACAGCTCCTCCTGAGAGGGGGTGCATATAGTAAAGACTAGATCTCTGTTGCTCCGTTGACAGCAGAGCACACCGTTCCTGTGAGTAAATGAGACTCAACATCGTTCAGATACGTGGGGCTTCATTCTGTCTATGGAAACCTAGGAAATCGGGAGAGTTCATTCCAATGACTACTATCCCTGGGTATATTTTTAATAATGATTTATAACAGACATAAAATAATTATCATCCTCATTATCATAAATTTCACAGTTTACAAAGGACTTTTTAAAGGCCTATGAGGTGGATATTTACCCTCTCCTTTCAAAGATGTGAAAACTGAGGCTCCCACCAGCCCCCGGTCACACAGGTGGTCAGCGGTGACACTCAGATTCAACTTCAGTCAAATGTCTGCAGCTACTCTCTTCTACACCAGAGCTGCCTGAAAAACAGAAAACCTAATTTTCACAAAAGACAGTTTTCCTTTTTGGAAAGCCTTGCTCAAGGGAAAATCTGGTAGTTTTGTCTAGTAGAAACAAAAACCAGTACATACACAAAGTGATAATAATGGATGCCAGCACATGCAAGCTTTTCCTAGCAGTCATTCAGAAAACAATGATAAGGACATTATCAAAAGTGGCATATTTTCTCCAAAGAGCTCAAAATGCTTTCACGTTGTTTTCAAAATAGGTTACACTATTATCTCCACTTTGTCAATGATTCTTCTGTGTTAAAGTGTGGTTCTTCCCCTTATCATTACTGGCTTTCACAGATTTTATTGCTTGTGATGTCTGCTCACACTGTTCTTAACGACCACGCTTTGCTTATTGACACTAGGAGGGTGACTACCATCTGTACCAACATTATCAGAACTGCAAAGACATCTTCATTTTAATTCTGTTGTGCTAGTGTTGGGGTGGGGGGGTTGTGTGGAAACAAGAACAAAGCAGATAAATAATAGTGAGAAGCAATGAGAGGGAAAGAAGAGGTTTCTGTTAACCGGTGAGAGTAAGTTAAAAGACACATTTTTGCTCAGTTACTGAAGCACCTTGGAGCCAGTCTCCTCAGGGTTATTATAAAGCAGCTCACAAATCCTGCTTAGGGGCAACGTGATCACATTCTGGTCAGGGAGTGAGATGAGGAATGGGTAGGCAACAAGATACTAGCACTGGGTAATCTAGGCAAAGGGCATTTGGGTGCTTACTATTCTTTCCGTTTTACTGTGGGCTTGAATTTTTTAAAAATAAAAAATAATGTTTAAGGAAGTATCATTAAATAAGGCGGGTGGGTGGAGCTGGGAGGAGATTAATCAAAGAACTTCGATGCATAGATGCACGACCTATGGACACAGACAATAGTGTGGAGAATGCCTGGGGGGGGCAGGGGTGGATGCCAGGTGAAGGGGATCAGTGG